AGTAGCGTTTTAAGCCTTATAACGAGTCTACTTTTGACTACCGCGCGCGCTATCGGCCAATTAATAGCGCTAGCGCGCGCGCCGCGCGCCTCGCGGAAATTCGGGGCATAAATTTTATTTTCGGAAGTCTTACTTTTGGCTAAGACCGCGCGCGCTAAGTCGGCCAAAAACAACATCCGTTCATTCAGAGAATGTCCGTCCGTTCCAAGGGTCAGTGCAGCACAGAGTCTGAGTTTTGACATCAATGGCAATCTACCTTTGATTTTCTAAACCATAGTCTCAGAAGTTCCAAGCACATCACAGCGAAGCATTTTTTCCCTTCAAAAACGCCAGGTGCTCAAGGCATCAGTGGCATCTATTATGCCCGAACGACCGGCTTTCCATCAAGGCATCAGTGGCATCTATTTTGCCTCAACGACCGGCTTTCCATCCACAAACTTGGCCCTTTTGTAGTAATCCAGGCAGGTCAGGGCGTCCACCAAGGCAGTGTGAGCACCACCGAAAGCAAACCCAAGGCGGCTGGCATGTCCACCTTGAAGGCCTTCCAACCATGCGATTGCAGATTGGATCTCCCCATACTTTCGGTCGATCTGGTTCTGCATGCCCTCATCCACGGAATGGCCGTTTGGAGCAGCGAGCTTCCAGATCTTGACAATCTTTGGTTCAGGGTTCCACCACATCTTGTAGTCCTGGTAGTCCAAAAAATCGAAATCCTCCAAAGGGCAACCTTGGAAGAAAGCACGGTACCTAGTAAGAGCAGCCACCGTCATGGCAATCGAACGGGCGTGATGCTCGGCGTCATCGAATAAAAACCGGATCCAGAGCAAACACTCCCTGCAGCACTCCAACTCATGATCTGCCTGGTGTTCCATCAAAGGATTCTTGCCCCGGAGGTCAGCAAGGTGGTCATTCATCTCGCGTGTGCTCAAGACTGCTGTGCTCTCCATGACGGGCCGACAATGGTCGCAAATCAACGGGCGGTCGCTGGTACTTGATTGATGAGGGGCAGCCAGGAAAATAAGGAATCACAATGTTTGCACACATTTTCGTCGTGAAAACTCAAATGACAACATTCAAAATGACAATCCCTAGCAATTGTCATCACCATGACGAATCCAACTCAAATCCAAAATTCTGTTTTCTAAATCGTGGTTCCTGGAAGATTTTCAATTTTCATTCACGGAGTCCAATCAGCTCGTAAAACCCGCACTTTTTGTCGCAGAACGGACGAGTCCGAGTGCTGTTGTGTCGTGCAGTGTGCTGCGGACAGACCGCCGTGCCACAATACTGCATTAATTAAGACGAATTGAATCATTGGACTAATCAATCCATGGAGATCCCGTCTTGCTCTGCTTGCCTCAAAAGCCACCGTTTCCCCATCCTTTTGCTCAGCATCTTTCCGATCTGAATGCAAAGGCCACACTGATCCCAGTTGTTTATCTTCAGCTCTTTGTAGTAACGCCACAACTTCTCAGCACGCGTGGTGGAAAGCAATCTCTTTTGGACATGGAACCACTGGTTGGCATCAGGTGTCTTTGTAGCTTTTTTCGACATTGCCTTTGGCACCAAAAAGACATCACAATCGCCAGAGGTTCCAGAAGCCTGGCTTGACGGCCGTTGAACGACCCTTGAGCAAGGGCGCCAAATGATCAACGGGCGGCTGGTTTCTCAATACGCAAGTTGTCTGCAATGAGGCTCATAAGACAATTAAATCTCATCCACCTGTGAAAACTGTTAAAAGGTTTGATTTGAGTGGCTGAAAGAACGAACGCTTGTAGAGTCAACATGCAATAATTGAATCAAACGTGTGTGTCTGAGCCAGAAAAAATGTACCGAATGCTGTCACAACGCAACATGCTGGCATTCACTGCGGTACCATGCAAAAATCCACATGCACTGTGTCATTGGCAATTCAAATTCAAAGCAACAAGCAACATCATGCCACGTCGCCAAGCAACAAGAAACGTCATGGCCGGTTGGGTGCTTCAGTTTTCTGCCACAGGCTGACAGATCTGAACGAATCTTGAAAAAGCTGGAGCAGCAAACTGTCATCTGAACAAAACTTTGAACTGGCAGCAGCAAGCAAATGTCAAAATGGGCGTTCATACCGGGTCAAAAATGACTGCTGACAGACAGTCTCAGATCTCTAAGAACGGGCGGTAGCTCACTCACTTAAGACTTGTCACCCTCTGAAACTGAGTCCTGGTTCAGGGAAGCACAGGTGAATTCTCACTGACTTGGACGGCCGGCATTAATTTTTACACTTAGACCCGGCCTCGGCAGAGCCTCCTGCTTCGCCGCTGACCTCCGAAGCCTCGTCCGCGTCGGCCTTGTCATCTTCCTGGTCCTTCTTCTGCTTCTTCTTGTCGCTGCCAGCCTTGGCCCTTGGCTTCCTTTGGCGCTTCATCCCGCCTGACAGTCAGGGTCTGAATCTAAAATGTCTGACAGAGGTCCCTTTGTCGAAAAAACTTACATCCATTCAACCTGGCCTCGACCACGGCCACGGCCTCTTCCAGACCCCCCGGCCAGTGGCTGGCACTGGCTGGTTTCCGTTTGGCCCGGGCGCATCCTCAATCTTCAAAGCCTTGGCCAAACGGCCGTCGTAGTTTGTTGAGCCAACCCGAAGGAACGTTTCGAAGAGCATCTTGGCTGCCTGCTCCTTGAACCACTTGCAATGCTCAGGCGTGTGGCCTAAGTGAGACTAAGATTGCAGTAAGTTAAGTTAAGTATTTCCCAATAAATTTGAAAACATACCGTTACCGGAGGCAATAATAATAAAAGTAGCCTAAAACTGACTGAACCACGGAACCAATTGCCACAACTGGCAAACCCTTCAGGAGAAAGGGAAGAACAGCCGTAGGGCAACTCGCTGTCAAATTGATGACAATTCTTGGACGAAATCTGTGCAGGAGTTCTTCAATCACTGACTGGTCCATTGCTCGAAAGTTGATGGGCTCGGGCCCAGAACGGGCGTCAGTGTCACCAGCTCTGCCACGGGAACGGATGTCTTTGACACGGGCGTTCTCCCCCAGCAAAAGCATCCTGAGGGTAATTTTATATAATGGAAAATCAGAAAACAAAATGGAACTGACTGGCTGTCTGGCAACTAACATAGATGATTTGAATTTGAGCCCATGACTTCTCTGACAACGGGATGGTCGGGCAGCTTGAAAGGTCACACTTCTTCACGTCAAACAGGGAATTGCCACCAGTGCTGCCTTGATGTGCAACATTGGGCCGCTCTGATTGCACAATATCTGTCAATCTGTCCAACGAGGCGGTGCCAACCAAAATGGTCTCGAGTTGGTCAAGATGCATTGCCTCAGTAGTGCTAATAAAGTGGTTTCAGTCAGTCAGTGGCAGTCGAGGGATTATTTTGGCCAAGTCACGGCACGGGCAGTGTTGAAACCAGTGGCAGCGAGGGCAGAACGATGTGCTTGCATACCTTTGACAGATGACGACAATGATGATGAGGTTCTGATTGCAATTAGTAGTTAATTTTATTCGCTGCATAAATTTAAATGCAATCAGGCAGCTCGACTCACTGTAGACCAGATACATTTGCCTCCACTTGAGCCCTCCAATGGCCTTGAACACGTTGCAGAAGTTCCCATGGTGGGAGGAACGGCCGCCATCAAAGAACAAGAACCTGAAACAGTGACTGATTGGCAAGCACCATTGAAAATTGTCATTGTAGTAGCAGATCGGTGTCAATCAAGTGTTGGTTATTATTCGATGCAGCATGCAGCCTAGTCGCACATCTGATTGGTCAGGCATCAAGCTGGCTGCTTCACCGTCAGTAATCATTTGAGCTGCCGAATTGACATCAGTGCAATCCGAACGGGCAATGAGAGTCGCTGCCACGGCCGTCTCCAAGTGTCCCTTCCTCATCGGAGTGTTGCTCCGGCGAGGGCACTGCGCCTGTTCTCCCGATGCCTCGATATCATACATAATCAAAACGGACGAGTCCGCTGATCCCTGTGCACCAATCACCGGGATGCTCCGCAAAGCGGTCGCCAAAGAAGTAGACGAGTGCAGGGTCTCAGATGTTTCGCCCCTTCCAGGCGGCTTTGCGAAGTTGATGGTGGACAGTAGTGCCTGAGTTTTTGTCATGCATTGCTTCTCCACCTCGTCCACCAGCGCCTCATCAGATTCTGAGAGGCTCACCGGGCTAGTGACAACCTTGTTGGCCAAAGAGTGTTGCAAGGCCCCTGGACCCTGGACCAATGACACCACCTGCTGCTGCTGGTCCCCTGCTAAGGGTGCAACGGCCGTGGCTTTTGCATCCTCTTCTGCTGTCTCCTGGCACTTCGCCCACTTGTCCTTCACATCAGCGTGGTCAAGGACTTCGTCCAAAGAGTGGTTGAACCGAATCGCCGATTTCAAGGCGGAATCGAAGACCTTTTTGAAGCACATATCCTCCAATGACATGCCCGAACCGTCAGTGAATGGTATTTCGACTTTTATTCAAACCTTCGAATCAGCGTCAACCCTGCCTCAATAAAGAGGCACGTTCTGTTGCCGTTCTGCGACAGCAATCCAAGCCAGGCCAGGTCACAATTTCCAGCTGGAAGTTGGCCTCTTGGCAAATTCTTTGCCTTAAATTTTAAGTTCAAACGGCCAGGCATAAATGAAAATTATTCCAGACTTTTTTAATTAATTCTTAGGCACTCACATCCAAGACGGGTCCCTGCTTCTGCAGCTCTGAGCTTTGGAAAACCCGTCCGCCGAGATGTTGTCGACGGGACAATGACGTGCGGAACACTTCCCTCCCAGGGAACGACATGAGTGTTTTATGCAAAACCGTTACCACTGGTGCCCCTAAGACATAGTTTTTCAACCATCCGGCAGGAACGGCCGACCTCAATTTCACCATGTCAGGGGCGGGAAGAAAAGACTCAGCCCGAGAGAGCAGCTTTGGCACCAACTCCATCTTGAAAAGCAACAAGTGCATGAGCCTTCAATGACAGATGAATTGATGCTCAGAAAGGTTCAGGAAGTCACGCCCATCCCCAAAAAGACAATCGATCATCAGGTTTGAAAAATACAATCTTGAAGCGACAGCGAAGGTTCCCCTTGTTATGCGGTTGCTTCTTCCCCGTGAGGGGGGCCCATGAGCACTCCCAGGGCTGGATATCGCCATTCAAGACTAAGTCGAAGAAGAAAACCAACATGCTTTCGAAACGGACGGGGTCACTGCCAGAAGCCTGCATCAGTGCTTCAAGTTTGTACAAGGAGTTGCTGAGAGGGTTGTTCTTTCCGAACAGCTCGTCTCCGAGAAGCAACGCATTGCGAACAGCCTTGTGCTGGAGCACTTTCCACATTGTGAGGGCCACGCGGACGAATGTCGGATTGATCGACTCGCCACTTGAGACTCGCAAGTTTGCATGGAAGGCTGCATGCACCTCCTTGTGGTTCGTTCTGCTGCTTTGGTTCTTCATTGACTGGGCCAGGAGTCCGATCTGATACACCCTCTGAACCTGAGTGAAAAATAGAATGAATATTTGCCGTCAATTATTAACTTAATTATTCAAATCTGAAAAACAAATTAAAAATAATTGCCAACTTGACCCAAAAACGGTCGTCAGATACATTGACTCAAAATCCTCTCCAATTTTCTCCCTTAACTGGGACGCCTCAAAGAACAAGGCGGCAGTCAGGTCGTCTGAGATAGCTGCCGACAAGGCCGAAAGCCTCCGGACGCAACGGAACACAACTGGCTGAGTCAACCAAGCCTGTGCCCATTTTTGGATGTTGCAACCCGCACTCAAATCTCTGGCCGTTGCGAGAATCATCGCGTGATGCTCTTCCTCAGGGGAGAGCCTCTTCAACGTGCGTTCTGGGATTTGGCCTTGCTGGTTCTTCAGGATCGCAGGGTCAGCATAGACCACCAGACGCTCTGCACACTTGGGTTCTGCAAAACGGCCGTTCTGCAAATATTTCACTGCAGTGTCAATGATGGGGATGCCTGGCGTCGGTGACCACCTCAGTCAGTTTTGGGACAGTGGTCAATTAAATTCATCAATCAGAATCAAATCAGTCTTTGACTGCCGAGAAGCGTAATGCTCAGCCATGTCAAGTTACACCCAAAAATGATGTCCCTCGAAGCACCGTCACCAGCATCTTGGTCTTGTGCAGCAAATTGTGCAGAACGGCCGGCCAAAACGGTCACATCCAACGGAGCTGCGGGGGACCCTTCCGCTAAGGACTTGGGCTGTGATCCCTGAACCAGGCCGGCAAACTCAGCGTGCCTTAGCTTAGTCTTAGTCAGTTGGTACAATTAAAAAAACACGGCTGATGACGAACGGCTGCTCACATAATATGCCAGTCAGTCAGTCAGTCAGTCAGTCAGTCAGAGAACCAGTCAGACAAACAGCCGTTTTTTCTAAAGGCAAGTCACGCCATACACGTGTCATATGCTTCTTGGACCTTTGCAAAATGTTCCAGGTTCACGCCATCGGTTTGCTTGAGTCCTGAACAAATTGACAAACCACAGCACGGACAACCCAACAAGAAGGAAAATAATTTAATGGCGACATGTGTGAACTCCTTGGTGTGCCATGCTGCCAGGTCGGTTGTCGGAGGGGCTGACTGACTATTGTTTAACTGTAGTAAGCCCAAATGCAGCACGACAGATTTCTGGGAAACAGTTTCCGGTGATCATTCGGCTCGAATCACAGACTCACTGACTGACAAAGCTGCTGAAAGAACAGGCATTTTTCTCTTCCATGCGATCTGGCCCTGCCAGTCTCAGGGCTGACCGGGTATTAATGCACAGCCGTTCCACTACACTGCCCATGAGGGCCAACTAACTTTAGAACCTGACAGCCAAAATGGGCGGAAATCAAAACTGCCTCGTTCCACCACACTGCCGATGAGGGCCAACTAACTTTAGATCTTGACAGCCAAACGGGCGGAAATCAAAACGGCCTCGATGGCCCTTGCCAAGACAGTCTGTGTCATGGCGTTGCCGATCATTCTGCCTCTCTGAGTCTTCGGGACGTTGAGCAGTTGCTACGGGATATCGTCATCACTGAAGCCTTGGCACCTTTGAAGTTCCAACATCGTAAGCCGCCGCTTCCCCTGCAACATGCTGACATTAAAGTCTCCAAACCAGTATTTAGTACAGTGTTGTTTTAGTCAAACTGTTTCCAAATAATCACCACTGACGACAACGGTCCTGCAGCCAGTAATAGGCACTGCTTGCACAGCGACCAGCCAACAATGTTGGCACGAAGTCATGACAAACTCGGGCGAAATTTTGGCCTGCCGCCAAATCTACAATCACTGGCTTGGAGGAACGGGCGTAATCCTCCTCGAACTTCACCCTGGCAGCTTTCAGGTTCTTCATGGCCGTTTTCCCCATCTTCATCTTTTTCTTTTGCTTGGCCCCGACGTTCTTCAAAAGCAAAGTTGAAAGACTAGGCTTGCTACCTTTGCATTTGGGCATGCTCAGTGGTGGGTTGGTGATACCCTTCTTTGAGGACCTCTTGGCGCCCAAAATGTAGACTCTCTGACGGTCTTGGGGAACTCCAAAGTCCATGCCTCGTTGGCCACTGACTGACTGACTGACTGACTGCGGACTCATCTGTTATTGTAGTATTCTTTAGCCAGTGGATGTGCCACACTAGCAACTAAAATGAAACAGTTGGGGTGCTCTTGGCTCTGACAACCTTCACGTCATAGGCCCTTCTGGAACTATTTGGTAAACGGACGCCCTTGAGGCGCCCAATGATGCCCTGGAATGTCTTCCGGTGTCCTTGGATTGGTGGTGACCAAAAGCAAACAAAATGAAGGCCAATGGGAAAAACGCATTCATAACTTCAAGTGAGCTTCTCTTGGTCAACAATCCTGTCACGTTTTCCAAGACGAAGGCCCGAGGAACCCGAGCCTGAATGTAGTCACAAACGGCCGAACTCAAGTCCCGGGTGTCCCTTTCTCCGAGGTTGTTTGCGGATGCCTTGCCTCAGGTGTTTTTGCCGCTGGCTGGTCGTCAGTGACAATACCGGAAAGATAAATTATTGATTGGCTGGGGCAACAAAGTTTATTCCAAGAGACTATATGGTTGGCATGGAAAGCCGCAAGAATACAAATCAACGGCCGGAACGGCCGATGGATCTTGCATCCTTTCAGACGGACGTAGACCAAGACTTTCCAGAACGGCCCTGCAGTGGACATTTGTGTCCGAGCTAAATCTGTGCTTAAGAACGGCCGCCGAGTCCTTCAGGATCTTCCGCAGGCACAGAACATCCGTTCCGAGCCCGGAACAATCGCTGCCAACATTGAGAACGCCCTTCCTCAATTGAACGGACGGCCGGGCCATGGCTTTGACAGCGGCGGAACGTCCGTGGCAGCGATAATCTCGTGAGCCCAACGGCTGACGCTGAACACAAGTTTGAAAACTGTGAGTCTCATCATTGAAATGGATTGTCGCGCGGTAGGGCCGCCTGTCATTTTTTACCCAACCCGAATCGTCATCTGAATCTAGACTCAGCGGCATTTGGCACACCCAGCACGACTGTAGCGGCACTTGCCTTAGACAATAGAACGCTCACATGCAGTGACCAGTGTCAAGTTGTTTGTTTTCAATTAGTCACTTAAAACCAGATGTATGATCTAGTGCTATTGAGCCTAATTAAATGCAAAGTTACATTTTCTTGGTAACGATTCGAAAGTGAAATCAAACATGTCAGCCTATTGCGACTCAAAATTGTCAATTGTTGCATGATTGATTTCATTGACGAACTCCCCCTTCATTAAAATGACTAAACACCACAATCAAAAACAAAATGGGGCGCGGACCAACAGTAACAGTAGTAATCAAAATACACGCGTTCACAAAACATTAAGCAGAAACTCAGAATAACATAGTCAAAAAGGACCAAGGAACAATATCCCTGATAGCAACAACACACATCACGTTTCTGTAAACACAGAAAATAATTAAACCCCCCAATGTGAAAGTGAAGAGCTGTGTTGAAGTCAATTAATGAGACTAACACATCAAACTACAGAACGCAGTGGCACTGGCACACCATATGCTGACTAGTTCAAGGCAGGTCACTGCAGCCTGGCCCAGAACTTTTTGCTGCTGGCTTCTTGACGGCCGTATTCGCCTTCTTCGCCTTGGGAGTCGGCGGGCGGTCAGGGACATCTGGCTTATCATCTCCAACGGCCGTTGTCGTTGGGGTAGCGGAAGCCTTTGAGATAGCAGAAGCCGCCGGGCGCTTCATAGGGGTCTTCCGAACGGTCGTCTCTTCCTCGTCATCCAGGTCCACCATGTCATCATTTTCTGAATCATCAGGCTCCAACTCTGGAACGGACGTTCTCGCCTCAGGACCGCCCCCCTCCACCTCAGAGCCAGTGCCATGCCCATCATCATCCTGGTCATTGTCACCACCACCGGTGGAAGGCCAGAACGAATCGCTATGCAAACGGCCAGCTGAAGGCAAGAACGAATGAGAACGAACCATGGCTTAATAAATGGACGGGCTTTGGGTTGAGAAGTTCAAACCTAGCGGAAGTCACTGTTGAATTTCTCAACGTTGAAGGGTTAGTAAAATTAGCCGGTTTGATTAGTAGTTCAAACCTAGCCCAACGCCATGCGACACATGAACGACTATTAATTTGACACATGAGGGTTCGTTTAACATCGTAGTTGCCTGGCAAAAATTTAAATTAGACAAGTTTTAATATTTAGTTTCATCAGATTCAGACCCAGAAACAGTAGCATCATTGTCAAGGATTCTAGCGCCATGCAAACATGAATGTCTGTTTGATGCAAGGTTTCGTTTAACATCGTTTGTTTGACAGCCGTCAGCCACACTCTCAATCTTTTTTCACACGGAAGAATGAGTTGACCTGTCCGACTTGGAAGTCTCACCGTGTCACGGCCGTCAGCTCATTGACTAGGGGCAAAATTAGTTGACACGATGAACGGACGTTGTCACTCATTTCTTAACGGCTGTCATGATGCCAATGCTCCCGGCCACGGTAGCCG